TTGTGGCGGGTGCCTATAGTCCCAGCAACTTGGGAGGCAGAGGCAGGAGAATCGCTTGAGCCCAGGAGTTGGAGGTTGCTGTGAGCTGTGATGCCATCGCACTCTACCCAGGTCACACAGCTTGAGGCTTTGTCTCAAAAAAATAGCCAGGTGTTGTGGCGGGTGCCTATAGTCCCAGCTACTTGGGAGGCTGAGGCAGGAGAATCACTTAAGCCCAGGAGTGTGGCTCGGCACCTGTGGCTCAAGTGGCTAAGGCGCCAGCCACATACACCTATGGTGGCAGGTTCGAATCCAGCCCTGGCCTGCCAAACAATGATGGCTGCAACCAAAAAATAGCCAGGCATTGTGGTGGGCGCCGGTAGTCCCAGCTACTTGGGAGGCTGAAGCAGGAGACTTGCTTGAGCCCAGGAGTTGGAGATTGCTATGAGCTGTGATGCCATAGCACTCTACCCAGGGGGACACCTTGAGGCTCTGTCTCAAAAAAAAAAGAAGCCCAGGAGTTTGAGGTTGCTATGAGCTGTGAGGCCACGGCACTCTACCAAGGGTAACATAGTAAGACTCTGTCTCAAAAATAAATAATAAATAAAATTTAAAAACAATACAGGCCAAGCAAGGTAGCTCACACCTGTAATCCCAGCACTCTGGGAGGTGGACTGCATGAGCTCATAGGTTCAAGACCATTCCAAGCCAAAGTGAGACCTCATCTCTAAAAATAGCCAGGTGTTGTGGAGGGCACCTTAGTCCCAGCTACTCAGGAGGCTGAGGCAAAAGAATCACTTAAGCCCAAGTGTTTGAGTTTGCTGTGAGAAGTTTATGAAGCCACGGCACTTTACCAAGGGCAACAAAGTGAGACTCTTGTCTCAAAAAAAAAAAAAATCTGGTCAACCCTTGGTATTTACAAGATTGGTTCCAAGACCCCAGCGGATACTAAAATCCACAATGCTCAAGTCCCTTACAATTGGCTCTCCATATCTGCAGGTTCCACACTCCCCAATACAGAGTGCCAACTTAATCAAATAAAATTTAAAATTCAGTTCCTGTTTGGCACAAGCCAAATTTTAAATGCTCAACAGCCAGATTCAGCTTGTACTTAATACACTAAACAAGTCATAGAGAGTAATTCCATGACTACAGAAAGTTCTACTAGACAGCATTACTCTAGAAAATGAATTGGAAAGCTTTGTAAGTTACTATCTGGGAATCAGAGAAAAGAATACCATGATAAGGTATACTACCTCTGCTTGAAAACAAATCTTTGTTTATTTTTTCTGAATCCCAGGTACCTAAAATAGTACCTAGTAATAGTGGGTGCTCAATTAATACTTAAATAGCACCTAGTAATAGTGGGTGCTCGAAAAATACTTAAATTTGCTACTATTATTTTAAAGACACTATGTGTCCCATTATTCCAGCATACGAACTCAAAATCAACTAAAAGCTCTTCAAGCAAGTGCCCACCCTTGAACAATATGTGCTCTACACTTTTACAGCATGTAATTCTGCCAATAAATTGACAGACAGGCAGCACCCATAGCTCAGTGGGTAGGGCGCTGGCCATATACACTGAGGCGAGAGTGTTCAAACTCAGCCAGGCCATAATGACAACTGCAACAACAAAAAAAAATAGCCAGGCGTTGTGGCGGGTTCCTGTAGTCCCAGCTACGGGGGAAGCTGAGGCAAGAGAATTGCTTAAGCCTAAGAGTTTGAGGTTCCTGTGAGCTGTGATGGCACAGCACTCTACCCAGCACAACAGCTTAAGAGTCTGTCTCAAGGCTCGGCGCCTATAGCTCAACCGGCTAAGGCGCCAGCCACGTACACCTAAGGTGGCGGGTTCGAATCCCCAGCCTGGACCCGCCAAACAACAA